GCTAGCTCTGTCCCAGCTAAAACCAGGACATATTGTCTCCTCCAGCAGTGGAACCCAGGGCTATAGGATTAAAAGTACACTTGATTTCAGAGATGGCACTTAGCTTTGTCACCAGTGTGTCTGCACTTACTTCTTGTTCAGACAATATTATTCTGTTGGCATATGCTGTCACGAACAGGGTTTTCCTAGAGTTTTCCATTTGGTTAGCTTGCAAGCGTATGTATTTATATATAGTTGCAGTAGTAACTATATATTTGAGTTCTTGTGTGTGCTGTTAACTATAGCATCCAGACATATCACATAATGTTTTAGTATTTAAATCTTTATTTAAATCTATCCATTTCATGGATGCCAAAGAGAGAGAAGAAAGTTTATTTTCAGTTCTGATAATAATTATGATAGTGGTTTTGTGATGTGGTGTTAGAATTATTAGCATTTAAGGTTTGAGATGCCTGGATAAGACATTTATCCTAACTAAAAGAACATTCAAATAAAAGCTAACAGTCTGTGATTGTTTCCAAGTCACTGCTTCTGAGCTAAGGTAATGCTGGATGTGCCACTCCTACAGGCTCCAGCAAGAGCCATATCTCTATACTGTTTGATTCTTTCTTATAAGTATGGCAGTTAGCGAGATCCTTAAGGAATCCATCCTTACCAGGGATCAATATCTGGCTTTGCTAATATTGAAATGATTGGTTTTCTTCACCTTTTTCTTTTTTTTTTTTTTTTTTTTTCTGAAACAGTGTATAGGCTGGGTCTCTGATCTTTTAGAAGAGAATGGAGAAGCAGAGGGGAAGATGCTGTCCCAATTTTCTCTTACTATGACCAGAGTTTATAAAGCCTGGTCTTGTCTTAAATTTTATTTGTATTTTTATGTGCTTGGAGTCCCCAGATTGTCCAGTAGTTACCTACTTTGGAGAGATGCATTGTGCCAATTTTCTCAGATTTCATGGAAAGCTTGAAGAACAGTCACTTTTGGCTTCTGAATTTCCCATCTCCAAAGTCTGTTGATTTTCTATTCCAAAACTTTCAGTGCCTGAGAAATGTACTTAATTTGCTTGATTTGTGACAATGTGGAATTTTTACATTTCACATCATTCTTCTCCAAACTAATCTTTTACTGTGGACTTAAAACCAATTGAAAGCTGGGTATTTTGTCACTGAAAATGGATTTATTGGTAAACACTTTATCTTTAATCCAGTCTTTCTGTCTTCTTTCTTCCTGCTGTTTGTGCTTGGCATATTCTTCTCAGTTTATTTTTGGCAAGAACTTTCCTTCAAACATTACTTTCAAGCACCCATATTCCACTAAGTCCTAAGACCTCCTACTGGTAACTCTTGTGTTTCTCCAGGCATTTGAAATTTTTTGTGTTGTTTAGAGATGATGTATTCAGTATCAGATATTTATATCTAGTTCCATATAACATACAGATTCAGGGTGTCCTAATGGATTGATTAGGAATTTACGTTGGTCATCCAAGAGCAGTCTTTTGTACTGTGAATCTGTTATGGACATAAATTACTATTTGATTACAGAGTCAAAATAATTAAGTCATTGCTGTTTTTTCATCTAACTCATATGAGATTTCTTTCATACTGCTCGATACAGTTAGTTATAAACTTTAGAATCATTCACAAGTGGATTCTTCCAGAAGTTTTCAATGTGTTCTCCAATATGCTGTAGTTGTTCATCTGCAAATCAAATGCTGTAAATAGGAAGGTTTGGGTTGGAGGAAGAGAAGTATTGGCATTAGTTTTTATAAATCTTTTTCGTTCCTGAAAATAAAAATCTCATTCTTGGGCTTGTTAAAATACAAATCAAAGGGTACTGCATAGTATACTGTGAAGGCATTTCCCCCCTTAGTTTAAATAGGCTTTCACATTATTTTTATTAATTATGGAGTCTACTTGCTATTAATATAGTCTCCATTAAAATACAAGCACAAAAAATTATCCATATTAAATCTGAACGAATAGTCTTTCATTATTTCCTGGTAAATAAAAATGAAAAATCTGTGGTTTCAATAATTAAGCAGCAGTGATTAATTTAGAAATCTCAACTCTTCCTGTTAAAACATGAAGTGCTTTGTGACATTTTTGTCTAAAGAGCATATGGATGCGCACTGTCAAGGTGAAAGTATGCAGAGTGATTGAAAATGCATTCTGACTGCACGGCGTATACAGGCGTTCGAATCTGTGTGTGTATTGGCACAGAAACGCCAAGCCTGCGACCTGCTCCGCTGAACAATGGGGTTCGTAAGCCATAGCTGTTGAATGTTAAATATGGAAATAATTGGAATTAACTCATGCAGTGAAACTGTAGTAATGCAGACTAGGCATTACAGTCCTGGCATAAATCTGTTGAAGCGGAGAGACAGCTCAAAAATGAGGATAAATTGTTTCTGCTTTGCTGTGCTGTTTCACTGTTGTCTTGTATACGTCTGCCCGTTGCTCCTTTCTCTGAACGGATGTTTTAGTGCTTCTGATTAGTGCTGCTGTCATACCCTGAGAAACTAAAATCTCCATTTGATGCTTGAAAGAAATACTGCAAAAACAGCACTGGGGCACACTTTCCCATGGAGCAAGGTCTCAGCAGAGCTGACCTCACATGCTTTGGTGATGCAGCCCAACTCTGCTGGGGAGGAAGGCCCAGCCTTTCTCTGCGTTCCTAACTGCTTACCGTAATAAGACTCATACGAAAGTGGCTAAATAGCATCGAATGCGTCTGTGGTTATTTCATGCTGTAGTAGTAGGTACAGTGAATCATGGGGATGGTCAGCTTCACTTCGGATTAAGACCCTGAAAAACCATCAACAGCGAAACTACATTTCTAAGGAGAAAATGCTTATAAGGAAGTTATGGATAGAATCACCCACAGCTAATCATCAATATGCCTGAAGCACATATCTCAAGCATGGGCTTAGATAGCTCTGAGGTTTATGTTTCTGTGTTCCCTGCATTTCTAACTAATTCCTGTTGGTTGCAGGCGGTGGAATGGCAATGTGATGAAGCTACTAAAAGAGCCTGTTACAGTAAAGGCAAATCAAAGGTAAGCATGAGACAGCTGTTCTGCTTTAATAAAATTTATATGTTCATAGTAGGTGTAATTCAGTGTATAAATCTCTAGCTTATGCATTTTTACTGTCTACCTTTCTGAAGAGAGTTGTAGGAAAGGAGCCTGACGCTGGTGTATAAGCAAAGGAATAAAAAATAATATAGGGAGTGTAGGGTGAGAGGTAGTCATGTGATTCTTTCCTGAAATGATCAAGAACTTTAATTTCCAACTATTTACTGTTTTGACTCTACAACATGTCATATGTAATGGACTGTATTCTCACTTCATTTTCAGTGCTGTAAATCCCGAATAACTGTGTAATTACTTTGTAAAATCCTCAATTTATTTCCCCATGTATTAGAAGCAATTTTAGAAACTTTTATATTTCATATCTACTGGTGCTCAAAAGAAAATAAAGTGAAATTCACTAACTTTCTAGACACAGGACTAGAAATATTTTTAGTATTCAGAACCAATTCCTTATCCGGCCAACTACAGTTTCTTTTATTCAGCACAGGTAAACATAATGCTAAAATGGAACCTGTATTGGCACTGTGTTTTTTTGTGACTGTCCTAAGCTGAAGTTAGTTGTCAAACTAATTATAAAAGCAGTTACAATTCCATGCAATTTATGTTTGGAATTATTGTACTGTTTAATGATTAAAGTTAATTGAGTTAAAACATAAAAGGAATACACATCAACAGCGATAACTGCAAAAGAGCACGCTTGCTTTCAGGACCCACATTCAGTAGAACATTAGCATCCATTATTGATGTGCAAAACTCAAAAAAAGACCCCAAGCTGCAAAAACATACTCCAAAAGCTTCTACCATCTGCATAGTTGTCTAATAACTGACTTTTAAACTTCTCCCATTAAGCAGTTCATTAAACAAAATTGCAGTGTACCATTGGGCTATCCATTTCTGTTTGAGATTAAAGAGGAAGAATGGCCTCACTCAAAGAAGCAGGACCATGTTATACCATAAGGAGAGAAAAACAGAATTACTTGACAGGGGGAGGTGGGGGGGGGTGGAGGGGAACCAACAAGTGTAAAGAAAATGCAGTGTAAAGCTTCATCCATGGAAGATGATTATCTTTAAGGAGGAACATATTTCACTGTAGAAATGAGTTTACAGTACTGGGTAAAGGCATTAAGAATGGTGTTGCCTTCTTTGTCTTCCTTTTCCCTTTCCATTCCGCTGTGGGAAACAAATACTTAGGAGTTACTGGTCACTAGCCATAAAGTGCAGGATTTGCTAGATAGAAGGTATTAATAGCTAAGGATAATAAATATAAGGTTAGATTTTACTTAAAGATTTCTAATTTGAGTAGACAACTCTGGTGACTCAAGTTATATGTGAAGCCTTTAATGGCAGAAATAGATTTTCAGTCAGAATGCTTACTAGGCGCTTACTTGTCAGTTTGTGCAGCGAAAAGAAAGAACTTTTGGGGCATCATATTTTCAGCAAATGTTTCATTTTGTAAGTTGTTATTTCTCCCTAGGCATATGCCTCAAGCTTTCACCCTTAGCTTTCAGATGACAATACTCTGAAGTAAGAGAGGATGTTCAAGTGACGATAGAATATGACAGATTGCATTGATCAAGGTGCACATAGAAACTATGCTGGTAGGAATGCAATGTGTGACTAAAAGTTTATGCCTTTGTTTTACAGCGATTTTCCAAGTTTAAAACTATACGAATAACATTCAGCTTGTCTGAAAGTCACAGTGCAGTGACTGTGATCTAACATGATGGGTGAAAATAACGGTAAATTTGTTAAATTTTGGTAAAAAGTGTGCTTTTGCATATTATGTTGAGAATACTATTTGTGGTGTAAAATCCACATTTGATTCAACAATGCAGAAGCATATGTTGCTATTAAATAGTTTTTCTAAGAGAAATACTCAGCGCTGGTGAAATGCATTTAACAATGGACTTTAGTGTAGTACGCGCGTGCAGATTTTAATTCAGTCTCATCACACCCTTTTGAAGAAGCTGGTGATTGGAAGTTATGCTGTCACTGTAAAATAGTATATATGTGCTATTCTAATAACGACCTCTGAGATTGTTTCTTAATATCGTTATTAGTTGGATAAAGATTTGGTGTTTCATTTGCATCCATAGCCTTGTTCCTCATTCACAATCTAGAAGCACAATCCTTGTATTTTATTACGTTTGAAGGTATTCCTGGGAGGAAATAGTTCTTTTCCTATAGTTATGATAGGACCTTTTTTTGGTGTGAAGACTTTGTGGCCCGAAAACTTCATGTGGGAGTTGCTGGAGAATGCAGAGATATTGACTGAGGCAACCTACCCAGCTGGAACGACAACTGTCTTTATGAACTTTTCACGCCTCTTTTGCTTTCACTGACGTGATCAAGGTTAAAATCAAAGGATAAATTTACAGCCAGAGAAAGGATAGCCTAATTATGCTTGTCTTTTATTGCCTTATGTCCAAGACTAAACTAAGGTCACTATACTCTCTGTATAAGGAGGACTTATACATGCAGATGAGAAAAGCACCTGATCTGTGGCATGCTCCTCTTCCTAGCCAAACCATTAAAGCATTTCCTTGGAAAAACTGGGGATTATCAGACCAGGAGGAGTTCACTCCAGTGCTGCAGTGAATTGTCCTTCTTCAGAGGAAATCCCCTGGGAGACACAGTTCCAGTTACTGTTATCAGAAAGACTGCTGGCTTACTTGTTGTTGTATAAATAGATCCATCCCAAATTGGAGAGTTGCTGGGGGTTGCATTTCTATAACATTTCTCAGAGTGAATTTAGATTTGAGGGCAGACGTGTGACTATAGGAAAGGGACAGGAAAGACTGGAGACAAAAATATACAAGGCCAGACCAGACTGTGGTGAAGGAAGGATGAGGGTTACAAGGATGGCTGTGGATGAGTTATTCATTCAAATCCTGGTTTCCCTTGAAGCTCTGCTGACCACAGAGGCGCATGGGGACAATGAGTTCAGGTGGAAAACCTAAAAGTCAATTTGCTGAGGGAGTGCCCTGAAATCAGAAGCAAACTTTGAATCCTGAAGCAACTCTAGTAGTTTTGAGATAATGGTCAGTTAAATACAACTTGTTTGTTTTTTTTTTTTCTTGAGAAAGATACTGCACAGAATTTTTGCCTCTAGCTGCTAGCAGTCGTTGTTGTTCTGAGGCTTATGCTTTAGGAGCCAATGAGGGAAAAGAGCTGAAGGGGAAAATATATAAGGACATTTGTCACATTTGACAGCGTAATGTGCACTTGACTTTTGAAGGCTGATGTTTGTTACTGAGACTTCAGACACTTATCCACCAATTTAGGCTGTTGCTTAAAATAACTAGTGGCTCCAGGAGTGAGCCAGACAAAATTATGTCCTTGTGGTCAGCGTGCGTTAGCATTTAGAAACCTAAAAGACCACACATGGTTAAGAGAATAAATTTGGCCATTCATACTAGCATTTGTGGTAGGAACTGTTAGAAAGGAAAAGTATAAATACATGTGGTAAAAATGCAATAAACCAACACGAGATTAAAAAAAATATATAATTGAAGTAAAGCCTCTTATCCCTTGCTTATTTAAGATTCTAATGGCTATATGTGTTAGCACCTGCATCTTCAATAAAAGTATTAAAAAGCTAAACACAGGTCTGTTTAAAATGTTAGCCTGTAGAAAAACATTGATGCAAAGGTATAACCATACACAGCCAGATTGTCCTTGAACTGTCAAGTTGGTCTTAAACTTGAGTGGCAACCTAGCCTGCTCGGCTGCTGAATTGTTTTTAATAGCTTTATTTTGTTTCAAGTATGCTAATATAAATGTAGAAAGTACTTGCTAAATGAATGTCTTTCTTTAAGAGGTGTTTTTATGGGAGAATAGGGAAGTATGTGACATAGAGGTCAAGATGAACTGGACAATAAGACTACATAAAAGATAAACACCAAACCTACCACCACCCTCTGAACTAAAAAATCCTTTGATTTTGGAGTCCTTTGCATTCACCATTGCCACTTCAGAGCACACTTTTTTTTTTTTTTTCATGTCTAAAAAGTGAACCAGTACAGCTGAGCTTGACTCCGGAGCTAGAAAAGTGACTCTGAACAATTCAGAAGACTAAATAATTGACTCCTTTCTCAGTATGGTTTTGGGTGGTGGTTGTTTTATTCATTACTAATTTTTTAAATTTTTTTTTGGTATTATTGTGGGTTTGTCATAGGAAGAAAATAGCCAATTATAAAAGCTATTATTTCAGTTTTGATTTTGTTGTACTATGTACCCAACAAAAAATTGATATGAGGTATTTTATTTACCCTATTGCAATATGGATTGTTGTCAAGCTGGCACAGGACTTGGCAACATTAAAGAGAAGAATCTTGTGAAACCCAGGAATGTCAGAATTTAAAAAATTAACATTATTTTCAAACAGAAAGAGTGGGTGAGCAGCGTGCAAGTAATTTGGCAACGGCACTATTTTAGGGAGTTCTGGAATATGAAGAGGAGAGGTTGGATGGGTTGTAATGTCAGAACCCACTTATTTTTCCTACACTTACATTCCATGGCTTGCTGCAAAGGGCAGAATGGAAACAGCCCGAAGAATAAACTACTATGTTATGTTCTATGAACCTCCCTGAGCAGCCTTCCCACAAAAAAAAAAAAAAAAAAAAAAAAAGAGAGGAATTTCCTTCAATTTTTTTTTTGTGTGTGTGTTCGTGTGCAGTTAAAATAACCTGCATCGGGGAAACTGCCCAGAAGTGAAATAGATACTTTTTAAAAGGCTTTTTGCACTGCCCAGCTCGGTTATATGGTTGCGTATTAGCTTCCACTTGGTTGAAAGAATATTAAGATGACAGTTTTGATAAGTAAAAGATAAAGACATATTTTTACCCGATGGAACTCAAATCTTAATTCTAAGACGTTTCTTGCTTAGCTTTAAAGGCTCAAAGAGAAGCATTTAGACACTACATTTTATAAAAGATTAAAGCAAATGTGTTTTTTAGGAGTATTTTTTTTCAAAGAGGTAGGTTTTCTCTGAGATTTTTACTGGAAGGGTTTTGTAGAGTTTTTTTTTAAACTTTGTTTTTTATGAGGAAAAGTTTTGGTGATAAATTCTGAGAGTTTTCTCAGAGATCTTTAAAGTATTTTGCCCATCTTGCTTTGCAGTCTATTTTGTGCTTGTTCAATTTATTCAGGATTATATTTCTTGTCTTCCAGTATGAGAGTCTATTTTCAAGATAAACAAGCAATACATTTAATATAACTGTAGGCCAGATAATAGGACTTCTGTACCATTTCTATTGCATGGATTTATTTACATGATTCTACCTAATATCTGTTAGCATAACTGTATTATCAGAAGGTTTTTTTTATGCTTTACATGAGAATCTCGTGAATGAATGCTAAAGAGCATTCAAATGGAAAGTTCCAGGAAATTTTTTTTTCTCCAAGCATATTACTCATTTTATTCATTTAATTAAATAGCGACATTGCATTTGAATCTTTCCTACATACAGTTCTGGCAGATTTTTAGTATTGCAGAAGAAGGCTTTCTGTCTGAATAAACAGTAGAAATTGCTGTTGATTTCTAGCTTCTGAAATGAGAGAAATGAGCATCATAAAGCCTTCGCACATCCTAACAGGTTAAAAAACATGTAAAATTATTCCTCAGGAGTGAGCATCTATGTATTGAGGTAATGAAATTTCTTGAGAAACTTTGAATTAACAAAAACTTAGATGCTTCTAATGAAACAGACTGTGCAAATTGTGAAACCAGTAGTGACAAATCTGCATCTGAACATCTCAAGAATTTTAGTTGTACTGGTTTCAACATACTGTTATTACTGACAACCTATTCTTTCTCCTATTTTCCTCACAACTTCCTCCCTTGGCCTGCTCTGTCTTGAAAACAGAATCTGATCTCCTGAAACAGCAGTGTATTATTTAAGTCAGCATCTATCACTTTAGAGTTTAGCTAAACCTTTGAAATATACACTTAGAAGAAATCTTCAGTACTGAAAAGGTTTATTGCTATCCCATTAAGAACTTTTCACAAAGACTGATAGATGCATGTATTGTAGTTAGAAAATCTATGTATATCATGATTGCCAACACATCTGGTATGTTTAAGCCTTGTTCCCCTAAATTTTTATATATTGACATATAATCATGGAAAGAAAATTGGAATTAGTTTCCTCTATCCTTTGAAGTATCACTGGATATATTCTTTCTTCTCTGCATGGCAGGAGGAATGCCAAAACTACATTCGAGTGCTTCTTGTTGGAGGCAACCACCTCTTTACCTGTGGAACCAACGCGTTCACTCCTATCTGCACCAATCGGACGGTATGAGTTACACGTTTCATCCCACAATCTCAAGTCCCTGTTCTGAGCCAGCAGATTAAAAGGCAGAGCATGCTGTGGTTGAGTCCTGGCTATGCGCGTATTGGTGGCTGAGCTGATGTGTAAAAGGCTGATGTAGCTAACGGCAGGCCGAAGAAGAGAGTTAACTGATGATCTCTTTTTGCAGTCTTTTCCTCAGCTGTGGGAGAGAGCAGCTCAGTTCCTCCTACATGCTAATTTTTGTGAATGTGAGGTATATCTAAGACTGCTGCCACTCCCTCAAGTTCGGTTGGCATCAACTGGTTTAGTTATAAAATGTAGTTGGGTAGCTGCATACTGTGTATGTGTAGTTCTAGAGAAGATGAGACTACTTGTATTAATGATTTCTGACTGGTGAGAATGAGAAATCTTGGTTGAGAAGATCTCCATTCTGTTTCTGGAAAAAAAAATTTGTAATTTATGCATATCAGAGAAAGAGAGTCCATTAAGGATCAATAATAGTCATAATAAAAATCAAAATGCCAGTGTTCGGACTAAACTGCCTATTTATTTCAGGAGGGGAGAGGTGTTTAAATATGAAGAATAGCTGTATCACCAAAAAACTGCTTGGCACATTTATTATACTTAAACCTGTTGTACCTTTATTTTCAAATAATATAATAAAATCTTACTGTGGTTTATGGCTGAAAGTATTAAGGCTACTAATTCAGAGAGATAGTTGAACTGGAAAGCTCCTTTTTAAAATCTCTTTCTTCATGGGTGTTTCTTTCCTTGAATACACCAACAAAATAAATAATAACTTTTTGTTTTTGTTGTCGTCTGACCACTTGCTATGGTGAATACCTTAGTTGATTCTGGCAATCAGATATGTTTTTCTTTTTTATAATAGCAGTCTGTGTGGAGATAATTAATTTTAGAGTTGCTTCTAGTATAAAACATTTTAGGCATGGTAGCTAATGATTAACTTGCGTGTTTTACATACCAAAGAGGCAAAAGCAAGATGAGGCAACATTACAGTAAAACTTTCTATATGAGACAGTATCAGATTGATGTAAAGGTCAGCTCATTACTGTTGTACAATAACAAAGTGGATAACTGGTGTTTGTGATAGAATTTTGCTCAGATTGATGCAGCTTGCCTGAAATGATATTTTTTCAGGTCATTTTAATCCCTTTTTCTCACTCTTTTACAGTTAAGTAACTTGACAGAGATACATGATCAAATTAGTGGCATGGCTCGTTGTCCTTACAGTCCCCAGCACAACTCCACTGCTCTTCTCACTTCCAGTGGGGAATTATATGCTGCTACAGCCATGGATTTTCCAGGAAGGGATCCTGCTATTTATCGCAGTCTGGGGGCCCTTCCTCCTCTTCGCACTGCCCAGTACAACTCCAAATGGCTGAATGGTGAGTGCTGATGGACCGTGAGACTTCTCTCTTTTTAACCCATGTTCTCCGTATCCATGGTCTTGAAATTCCAATCTGAGAATTTGAATGTTTTTAAAGTATTATTTATCTCATTTTAAAATTATTTTGCACAGTAATTTTTTATATTTTACAGGTATAAATATTATGGCATTTAATTGATAAAGCTGAAGTTTGTAGGTGTGCACTTAAATATGATTCATGTTTGCAGGCATAGGGGTGAGCTGTATTGTATCTCTAAGGCATACTTACATGGCAAAGCTGAGTCAGCCAAGAGCAGTAACTTGCCTTGAGCATTCTTTTCCTGAGTCCTTCAAAAACCTAAGGCAGAAATTAAGCAGTTTAGAATGGACTGACTTCTTCTGCCTTTTCCTGCAGATCGCAGCCTTCACAAGAAGAAAAAGTGCTTTCAAGCTGCTTAGGTGGCAGACTGGCCTTTTTGACGCTTAGTATAGCCGAAGGGTAGGGACTAGTCTGCAAAACATATCATAAAATTGTGTTGTAGCAATGACTCCGTGTCATGGATGTGAATCACACGATGAGGATTTCCAGCTCGGAGAAGCTGTAAACAGATAGCTATTCCTGAGATGTAACAGGGCCAGGTGCTATTTTATGTATTACAAAAAAGCAGCAGATTCTTCTAAAATGAAAATATTATTTAACATAAAATGTGAAATTATGTGTATTATAATTTGCCCATGCTTGAAAAAGACCCATATTTTCATAATGCATGCTACATGACACAACAGTCGCTATACCCACAGTTTATTTCATGTTACGATGAGATTATTCTCATGCTTGAAATTAGTACAAATATAAATCCTTCTAGCTTCAGAACATTAGGTCAGCTGCAAGTGACAGACTTTATTTTGGGTATTTCAGTTCTCATATAATCTGAACGTTGAATCGTGCATACTTGCTTAGTGTGTTTTTCTTATACAAAGAAACAATCAGAGGTAGCTTGGAGAAATTTGTGACCTTCTCTGAAGGTCAGCTGATTTTAGAACATTAATTAACAAAACAAACCCAAACTGTATGGAACATAACAGAATTATAGCAGTGCAAAAGAAAAGTGAGAGAGAAGATGAACTCATTGCATAGATATCCCTGTTCAGGCAGCTTTTGTCCGCACAGCCATGGTATTGGAACTAATTGCTGTGCCACACCTGGGTGCTTCTGTCAAAGGGTAAAAATTCTTCATACTGAATTTTCAGTTTAACTGGATGTGTTTTATGCCAAAGGGCACACTAAAATTCATCCGGTGTCCGTCGTAACCCCCCCCTCCCCGACTACTCTAATTAATCAGGTACACTGTATTTACATTTTGTCTATTTAAAGCTTCAGCTGCACCTATGCATTCTCAGTTAGAGCTTATTCTTCTGCCTCAAACTGTTTAGAATTAAGTTGCCAGGAAAGGGTGGCTTTTATCTTTGGGGAGGAAGAACAGGATGAGTTTTGTAATTGGAGCCAGTTCAAGCAAATCTAATAAAAGCCTGGAAGGAGCCCAGTTACCTATGCAAAAGAAGGGGTAATGTCTTCTAGGGTGGCTAGAAGTTGGGGATTCATCTGCTTTTATGTCAATTTCCCTGCTCATATGTGACTCAGCACCAAGAAACTGCATTAGTTTTTCAGTACTTAGATGGAAGTGAAGATTTTACTGCTTTCTATGAGAAAGTAACAGATAACACAGCAGTCAGGGATCAGATTAGGAGAGCTAAAGCCTGATAGAATTAAATCTGGCCGGGGACATCAAGGGCAACAAGAAAAACCTCTACAGGTATGTTGGTGATAAAAGGAGGACTACAGAAAATGTGAACCCTCTCTGGAAAGAAATGGGAGACATGATTACCCGGATATGGAGAAGGCTGAGATACTCAATGACTTCTTTGCCTCAGTCTTCACTGGCAAGAGCTCCAGCTGCACAGCCCAAGTCACAGAAGGCAAAGGCAGGGACTGGGAGAATGAAGAACCACCCACTGTAGGAGAAGATCAGGTTTGAGACTATCTAAGGAACCTGAAGGTGTACAAGACCTTAGGAAATTGGCAGATGAAGTTGCTCAGCCACTGTCCATCATATTTGAGAAGTTGTGGCAGTCCAGTGAAGTTCCCACTGACTGGAAAAGGGGAAACACAGCCCCTAGTTTCAAAAAGGGAAAAAAGGAGGACCCAGGGAACTACAGGCCGGTCAGCCTCACCTCTGTGCCAGTCAAGATCAGGGATCCGACCCTCTTGGCAATTATGCTAAGGCACATGGAAGAAAAGGAGGTGATTGGTGACAGCCTATATGACTTTACTAAGGGTAAATCATGCCTGACAAATTTGGTGGCCTTCTATGATGGGATTACGGATGTTGGTGTATAAATGAAGAGCAACTGACATTGTCTACCTGGACTTGGGCGAAACATTTGACACTGTCCTGCACGACACCTTTGTCTCTAAATTGGAGAGACATGGATTTGACGGATGGACCACTCAGTGGATAAGGAATTGTCTGGATGGTTACACTCAAAGTGTTGTAGTCAACAACTTGATGTCCAAGTGGAGATCAGTGATGAGTGGCATTCCTCAGGAGTCAGTACTGGAACCAGTGCTCTTTAATATCGTCGGCAACATGGGCAGTAGGATTGAGTGCACCCTCAGCAAGTTTGCTGATGACACCAAGCTGTGTGGTGTGATTGACACGTTGGAGGGACAGATGCCATCCAGAGGGACTGTCCTGGTTTCAGCTGGGACAGAGTTAGTTCTTTTTAACAGCTAGAAGAGCTCCGTGTTTTGGTTTTAGTCTGAGAGTTGCTCTGAGAAGAATGTTGACAGCGCACTGATGTTTATAGCTGGCACTGAGGTCTCAAGGACTTTCCATCTTGCCGTGTTCTTGCCAGTGTGCAGGAGCACAACAGGATAGGGGAGAGCATAGCTGGGATAGGGGTTCCACGACTCTCCTTATGGTTTGTACTTAGATTTAGGATTGAGGGCTAAACTGGCCAATTAGTATTCCATATTATGCAGGGTTATGCCCAGCATAAAAGTGAGGATTAGCCAGAAAGAAGGGCCTTTGCTCTTCTGGGGCTTTCACTCTCGGACTCTTGGAGTGTTCTCTCTCTCTCTCTCTCTTTTGGACCTCTTGCTCATCTGAGATTGCGGTGTCAGGACTTATCTGTTTCAGGATCATTAGTCCAGGATGGGATGGGCCTTGGTCAAGAGGTTTAGTATTGTAGTATTTCATAAAAATAATAGACTGCCTTAGCAGTCTGCTTTGGACATTATTAAATGATAGCAAATAAATTGGATCTTTCATTAAGAAAAAAAGTACACCTTGATTTACAGCTGACATGATGTTTATATGAGTCTCTCTAAGCTCTCAGTGTAACATAAAGTTTAAATCATATCCAGAGTTGACAGTTATAGTGTGCTCAAAATTAGACTTTGTTTTAGAGTTGATCTGCAAAGTGCAACAGGGGCAGAATTCATCGTTGTTTGCTCTAGAGGACAGATGGAATAGTTGTATTTGTGGTCTACAAGCTGCAGTAGGTCCAGATTGGAGAGGAAAAGCCTTCATTGCTTAGACTTAGAAACTTCTTCTGTAGTCCAACATTTACAGTTAGTAAAGGTATTTTTCCTTTCAGTTCACCTCCTCAAATCAGTAAATATTTGATCTGATGCTTCAGTGTGAAAGTTTGTCTTAGTCTATAATATCTGTTTGCTTCACTTAGTCAACAAAAAGGCAAAACAGATTAAAGAAAAACATGAAATCCCAATCAATTCCTTCCTGTTTCATCACATGGAGAAACGCTGGGACGTTTGGTTTCATAATTTGCCAAATGTCTTTCTTTACAATTGCTTGGATCTCTAACTATCTTGAAATACATTGTAGTTTTCTTTATCCTAGACATACAATCATAGATGCTATTGGAACATGTTAAATAAATAAAAACTTTGTTCTCAATGTCAAGACACTTAATGAGTGGGCAGACCATAGATGATTAAAATGTAATCTTATATCAGATGTAGCCTTGAAATAGAAAAAAAAATAAATAGAATCTCATACAGATTAGAAGCCTTTCCGGTTGAGAAGAGTATAGGATTGTTTGGATTGTTCTGTTCTGCCGGTAGACATAATATTATCGTTTTTTCCTCTTGCTGCCCTAAGCATTTGCTTATTAGATACTCTTAAAGTAGTTCTTCCGAGGCCATTTTCTTAAAACATTTTACTTTATATAAAGCTTATTAATTTAGAGCAGGTACTTTTAGTCTTCACAAGTAGCAGTAAAAGTAAAATTCTTACAAAAGTGGTTTGATTAGTGGGGTTTAATACAGCTCTGAATCCATTCCTATTATTGTTAGTGTATTTTTATTACAAGTCTTGCTGCTAGTAGGATATGTGGAGAGAAATTATGACCTAAGAACAAAAATTAATCCTTTCACTTTTGCTTTTAAGGATTAATGGAAATGACTGTAATAATTCAGGGTTATTCTTTCATTTTTCTCCTTTTTAATGAAAAGCCTTGACATTACCTAGTGCAAGCTTTTCTTCCTATGTAGTATTTTATGTAACTCAAAACCAGTATGTTCTTGAGATTTGCAATTTGGTCTTTAGCTTCCAGATAATAGACCTTACTGAAAATATGCTAAACATATGCTGCCAGTTGTTGCTCATTATGCAAGAAGATAAATAATTGTTTTCTTTTGGTTGTGCCACCCATGAGGCCGGTTCTGTTCTTTTCTGTGTATCATGCTTTTTGCCAGTATCCTAAAATGGGAGGGAAATGCCTTCTGGTTTTGAAACCCATCCTTAGACTTCTTCACTAGAGATGCTACCAGAGGAAAAATTTGAGCAGTTGTTCTGTTTGTTCCTTTCAAAGCTATACATCTTCTCCCAGATGGCAGTGACAGAGTAAGAGAGCAGTAGATTGATGTGAGATGGAGGTGTCTCCTCTGAAATCCTTTCTTCAATGCCACACTACATTATTACAAAACATCTCCAT